TTTTAAATTGCTCTTGTTACCCAGACCACAGACTGTGCTGTGTCGTACACTTTAGAACACTGATATTTCAGTCACGGACCCCCATGTATGTCTCTTGTAATAATTTAATATAGCCTTTTTTTTTTTTTTTTTACACCTCCATCATTTTAGTAATGTGAAAGAACAGCACAAGAGGAGTGCACTACAAAGTTATTTGCCATGTATTAAAAATGTCAGGTTAACAAAGGCAAATCATGAGAAAAGGGCTCATTTGAAGTGCTTTCCAGGGCGCACACACACATACACACACACACACACACTCAAGACAACAGGGAATTTGAAGTGAAGTGTTTCATTCTTTTTGCATACATAGGCTAAATAAAAGAGATTCTGATCATTTTAAATATACATTTTGTAAGATTAAAACATAAACTATGAAATATTTTAGATTTAAAAACTTTTCAAACAAACAAACAAACAAAAAGATATTATATCATGATGATAATTTAAATTAATGAATCTAAAAGCTTTTCACAGACCCGGAAGAGTGCCCTGGACCCCACTATGAGAATCACTGCTTTCAAAGACAAACCTGCTGTTAACACTCATCTTTCCTTTAGATATCTTGGTGAGCTATATCAGTTATGTGTCATAAGTTGTTGCAGACATTTAGTCACAGACACCATATATTACACAGATTTGGTGCTAAATTAAAGCTTTTTCGGACCACTCAAGCATGCTCAAAAATCCTTCCAAAGGAACCAAGAACTTGAGAACACCAGAGAAAATTCTATGCTTTGATTTGTTATCAAAAACCTTTGACATTTAGAGTTCTGTAAGAATTTTTAAGCGATTGAATGGCAAGCACTTCTGTTCTGGAAAATGCTGGGAAACCCCCTTATTGGCAATATCCCTAGGGAAGCCATCCAATTGAACGTCCGAGGTCTCTAGTTTGTGGTTGTAAAGTTTCATGAGACTGTGATTATCCTAGAGGTCACAGTAAATCATTTTATACAGTAGAGTTTCAAAACAAGTGTCTGACTTCACTGTATCTACTAGAAGAAGAAGAAGAAGAAGAAGAAGAAGATATACTTTATCAATCAAATCAAATATTTTTCACTCTGTTGTTTCACATACAGGCCTGCAAATACACACACATGCACAAACAGGACCTATATATACATTACATGGAGAGATGTCAGAGTGAGGGAGCTGCCCATGGACAGTCACCCCGAGCAGTTGGGGTTTTGGTGCCTTGCTCAAGGGCACCTCGACAGTGCCCAGGAGGTTTAATGGCACCTCTCCAGCTACCAGTCCGTGCTCTATACTTGGTCCGGACGGGGACTTGAAGCAGTGACCCTCAGGCGATCAACCTGAGTCCCTTGTCGAGTCTCAGCTTTCCAGTCACTCAATTGATGCAATTCCAAAACTGTTTGCAGAATTATTCAGCTGGTAAAAATAACATATCTGTACTGCATGCAAAAATCTGCTTGGTTTTTGCCCCATTCTGCATGAGATTAGCATAGAGTAGGTATGTCTTTAAGGGGGAGCCTCATGGGTTCCCATAGAAGTAATTGTCATTTAGATATTTTGAGGTGAGAGGTCAAGGCACCCCTGTGAAAGTAGCCATGTCAGTTTTGCCCTTGCCAAAATTTAGCCTAACTTTGGGACATTATTTGTCGACAAGCTGTTATGCTAGCTTGTCGATAAGGGGATTTCCTTGAATTGCTAGCCTTTGAAAGACAATGATATCGGCTGAGATTGCCAGCGATCCAGCGGGTCTCTTAGGTTTAATGTGGGAGTACGGTTATTAATGGTGGGATTTTTTTTGTTGTTGTTGTTTAAAAGCTTGAATACATACTTGTTGGAGCCCTGGTCTGTTAGATGTGAGCTTCAGGGTAATGTCAAGATGTGTTAGTTTAAGGTAAATTAAATTCCCAAATGGAATTATTTTGATGTAATAATTCCAGTGCGTATGTTCTTAAAGGACTGGAAGGAAGGGAAGAGATATGGAATAAATACATAAGAAATACATCCATTTTTCTTTTGAGTCTGAGTATTTGTAATTTTCTTGATCTTGATCTCGATAAACCATAAAACAGGATAAAAGACAATAACAAATGAGATAGATTAGAGGCAATAAAACATTTTAAAATATTCATACAATAAAATACATCATTAAAGTAAGGGCCATTAAACATTCTAATCACAAGTCAGGCTAAACAGGTTTAAAATTTATTATTTCAAAACAGTTTAAGGCTCTCTCATGACCCCTGGCAGGCTGTCTCAATGGCTTGGGACATAAAAATGAAAAGTTGCCCAAACAAATGTTTTTGTCCTGCTGGACATTGGAACAACCAAAAGACTAGTGGAGCCAAAAAGATGGCCTCTGGGGAAGTAAAAACAAGTAAAAGAAATTTAAAATGAATACAGAAACTGACACATGACCAAGGTAATGACTTTAAAACAGGTGTAATGTGGTCTCCTTTGGGTCCTTAAAATACAATATATGCAATACAACAAAAAAGGGATACAAAACCACAAAAAGGTGCATTACAACCACAAAGAGATGCAAATGACACAAAACAGGGCCAAACAACTACAAAGTGTGTGTGTGTGTGTGTGTGTGTGTGTGTGTGTGTGTGTGTGTGTGTGTCTAAGGACTCATCGTCTGATTAACCTGCCCCTGGCCTGTGGTGATTGGCTGTGAGATAAACCATACCATTAGTTATCTCTTCTAGATCTGGATCCAAAAAGGATCAAATGCAGGTATGATTTGACTGGAGAAGTTTCAGTAGTACTTGGTACTGGGTTATTTCAGTCAATATCTAAGGGAACTGAGCCATTTTTTTAGATTTAATACATATAATTCCTAGGGTCTAAAGCCCAGTTCAGACCAAAGATTCGCGACGAGACGAGTTGAGACAGGCAACTACTTGCAATGTGCCTTTCTACAACATTCTAAAAACCTGCCAGTTCACACCAATACAACTAAACAGTATATCATCATAAGTTCCTACAGTAAGCAGCAGCATCAACCCACTGTCCAACACCAGCACACCCTTAGGACGGACACAAAGGGCTTGGTGGGCATGGAGCACCTGCTGCAGCTAGCAAAGCAGCTAGCAGCTGTTAAGTTTAGTTAAGTTATGGAGTGCCAATACACAGGCCTACTCGCTAATCAACATAGTAGTATATCTGACCTGTGAGGATAACACATCATCTAATATAGAACATAAGATGTTTTTTACTGATATAAGTTGACTGCCAAGATCATACACAGTATATTTATCACATGTGCACCTGTGCTTGTAAGTGATTCCGTTTCTGCCAGACAAACCGGAAATGTGTAAACCCAGAACAACAGTAAATATAAACGGGAGCATTACTCACTGTCTAGATGAAATGATTTCAGAGCCAAGATGCAAAAAAAACAGAAAAAAGCAGAAATGCACCAGACATGCTGTGGCAATTGTTTTCTTCAAATGTGCCTCCCCCACGCACCGAAATGCATCCACAAAAATGGACACTGGACTAGACATTGAAATTACATGGCATGCAGTCCAAGACAAATCCCTGACACCAGGAATAACGCTAGACTGTATGAAACACGAAGGACACCAAGGTCACCCTGCAGCAGCACTGAAGTTCTCACTGTATGATAGATGGAGCTGTTTGGGGGCCCTCTGAGATATATATACGTGAAGTGATATGTGTGCATAAACTTTTGGTTATCTAGGCAGTGTTTAACTTGCAATATGGTCTAGGATCGAGCAGCAAACTCCAAATACCATTTCTTTTTTATCATAAACCACAGCTGAAGCCACGCTTAAACTGTATCACACAAACAGAAAGCTGCATCCAAACCCGCATGCATAACGCTGTGCATCCAAAGCATGAGGGGCTGCTTATATTTAGCTGTATATCTGCTGAAATACATCAAGTCAGGCCGTGCATCGGGCCGATGCTGGTTGGCATTGGTAAGCCGTGACCGTGCCTGGATCTGGCGGGAGCTGGAGCGAGATGCATCTGTAAATAGTGACTGACTGTGGTTCTGGTGGGACTCTGCAACACTCTAATTAAGCTCTGTCGCGTAACGAGGCTCACTGCTGTTCCGTGTCACTCGATTAGTAGCTTGTGGTTGGCTCAGGCTATAGTTTGGGGTTTGTGGGGGTGGGAGATCACATATGGGGCAAGGAGTGTAGCAACATAACAGCAATGGGAGAACTGGTAAACTTGATGTTAAAGAGGCAACTCTGCAACGGGTCTTGCATTAAAATGCAATCACATCTGAGGGGTATTTTATAGAGATCAGTAACACCACTGGTTTAGACTTTCTGGGTTTTGTAGTAGTATTTTTATACTCAAATGATGAGGGGTGAGAGGGAACTTGAAGGGGATTTACAGGATTCGTAAACACAACGGGTATAAAAATGATTTGGTTTGACCTCAGAAAATGATTGACAGGGAAATGATGGCATTTTTGTTGGGGAAAATATAAGAAAACTACTCTTCACTTTACCCAAAAGCCAGAGAGAGAAACTATTTCAAGATGTCAGTTCATTATTTAAATTTGCCATTTATCTATGGAAAACAGGAGTTCTTCAGAAATAAAGGTTATCATATTTATGAGTGATGATATTTGTGCATGTGCATCATGGAAAAGGGGAATACCCTTTAGTTAATCCCTCTTTCCTCATGTAAATCTGTTTGTCTTGGACTGGCTTTAATGTCAAGTGGAGGCCATATGCATACATATAGGTTTACATGCACTGTGCGTACAGTTGAATACCAGGAATGTTTGTGGCCATGTAAGTGTGTGTGCGGGAGAGTGAGTTTTTGGACTATGTGTGCCGGGGCCGCGTGGGTGTTTTCGGGGAGCTGTCATGACAAGTGGAAGCGGAAACGGTGACATTTGACTCCCCAACCAATCAGAGGGTTATCACTGGTCTGACATAGGAGGTGGACTTCAGTATATATTGACCTCGACTTGGGGGAAAGAAGCAGAACAAGCCATCGAAGGAAAGCTAAGAAAAGCGAGCAACCAAGAAAGCAACTCGTCTGCAGCGAGACCCTAACTACAAGGCACCATGAAGACTTTCACTCTCCTCGCCATCTGCGCTCTTCTGTCAGTGTGCTGGTCCATGGGAGGTAAGGACAAAGTCCTCTCATCATTGCTGTGATTTCTGATATTGACCTCTATATTTCCACCAATGCAGGCACTGACTGACTGTGTATAGTAAAGTGTTATTTTCTGTGATCCTCAGCTGTTGAACCAGAGGTTGTTGTGGACCCTGCTGCCGACACAGCTGCTGATGCTGCACCTGCTGACCCTGCCGCTGCTGACCCTGCCGCCCCTGCCGCCCCTGATTCATCCTCCTCATCCTCCTCATCCTCTTCTTCCTCCTCTTCCGAGTCCTCCGAGTCCGACTCCAACTCTTCCTCAGACTCAGCATCCGATTCTAACTCCAGCTCCGACTCCTCCTCCTCATCCTCCTCATCCTCCTCCTCTGAGTCCTCCGAGTCTTCCTCCTCCTCCTCGTCTTCTTCCTCCTCCTCCTCCTCCTCCTCCTCCTCCTCCTCCTCCTCCTCTTCCTCTGAATCTTCTGAATCCTCTGAATCTAATTCCTCCTCCTCCTCCTCCTCCTCCTCCTCTTCATCCTCTGAGTCCAAGTCCTCTGAGTCCGACTCCCCTGCCTCCGATTCTTCCTCTTCCTCTTCATCAGAGTCAGCTGAGGGTAAGCAACATTTTTGTCTCCAGAAAGAGTTTTTGCATGGTTTCAAAATTACTTAAAGTGTGACTGTAAAACAAGAAAATCCAAGAAAGTCTGAGTTTATGTTGTTTGTCTCCTCAGCTGCTCCAGTCATGAAGAGAGACTTGGCTGCTGTCCTCCTGAGGAGAAGGAGAGCTGCACCTGCAGGAGACCTCACCCCTCTGCAGCTGGAGAGGTACATCATTTATTCAAATTAGATGAAGCAGACAATACATGCTGCACAGCTATAGTATGACTTGAGATTTGCTGCAATTCAGTCAGTTGTACAAATTAATATTAACATAAATTCCTACCCATTGTTCCTACCTAGAGTCAAAAAACATTTTACATTTACAACCTTTCTAACCTCTTTTCTCTCCTCTACCATCCAGCCTGAGAGAGGTGTGTGAGCTGAACATCGCCTGTGACGAGATGGCTGAAACTGCAGGCATCGTCGCCGCATACGTCGCCTACTATGGACCCGTCCCTTTCTAAGATAAAGACTCCTCTGTCATCCACATAAGAACAGTTTTCTCTTTCATTTTGTTTTAGAATGGTGCAACAACTCCCCTGAATCCAGAAAAGGAGGCGACGATCAAAAAGTCTGGCCGAAGTTATTAAGGCACAAATCCTTGCACAAGTGACCAGCTTTAGTGGTCCTGTATGAAATGGCCTCTTCCAGGCTTTCAGAGAGAGGCACATGGAAACACAAGCCTGTGAAGTATGCAGTAGCCCACACTAGATTAAATTATTCTTCACGTCTATAGTATAATGCAATGAATGGTGCTACGAGTGCAGATGTATTGTTTGTTAATGTATTGATGTTTTCACTGTATGTCGTACTTTAGTCTTACTTTAACTAGAAGTGGTAGTTCTAGTGAGTAGTGGATGTAGTAATGAGGTACTGTAGTTTTAGTAGTGGTAGTGTACAGTGTGTGTGAAATGCACATCAGTTATCTGTAATGACTGTAACCACAAATTGCCTCTGGGTTTGAAAGTAATAAATTATTTTGTTTTGTCGAATTGTTGTTTTGTCCTCAATGACTAAAATGAACTGCGGGATCGATTGGTTTTCCCATACGAATGACACTTTCTACATTGTGGTCATGTAATCTGCTGTCAATATACAAATATCAATTACAGCTGCTTTAATGCTGACTAAGATGAATTCTGTTGTGGATTGGTATTAAACTCTATACATGCACAATACAACTGGCATCATCCTCATCGTCTCTAACTCTCCCTCAGTCAGCAGTGATGTTGTTCTCATTGTTGCACACTAGATGACAGTGTTGGTCAGTCAAACAGGTTTGATGTTCTGATGTCTAATGTCCACAAATCTGGACTTTTTATTTAATCTCTCTTGTCTTTAATGGGAATACACGAAAACCCTTTCGCACTCTGAATGAATAAAATAAAATGCTAATCAAATCGCACTGCCAACAGAAAGCAGTGTAAGAATTAAATGTATTCACTCAAAATTTCATGGATGTCTCCTTTGAAACTTCATTATGGTTACAGATATCTTGCCCATGCACCCATGACTGAAAATAAATATTTGGGAAAAATCAAATTGCATGTTGTTTAAAAGGAACGTACAATTACATCCCAGATAGCCAAAGTGACCTGGCCCAGCATCGACCCAAACTTGGCAAATAAGAAATAATTAGTGCCATTACTGGTTGCCCACCTCGGTTGAGACTTGGGATGAATGACGCCTCAGAATAGTGTGCGATAAACTGGCCTGATTCTGGCTGCCCCACTGACACTTCACATGAATGACGCCCCAGAATAAAGCAAAATAAACTCGTCTATTTGCAGTCTGCTGACACTGCAATCACCAGCCGTTATTAAAAAACTTGACTTGGCCCAGCATTGGCCCCAAAATGGCACAATGGAAGAAATAAGTCATGCTGCATCTGGTTGCCTGACTTTGCTAAGACTTGGCATGATAGCAACTTAGAATCAAGCCACATCTACTCGTCCACTTCCGTCTTCCGACACTGCAGTCACTGAAAAATAATAATACATTTATTCAGAGATCACTTTTCATGGTACTCAAAGACACTTTGCATAAGTTAGAAACGATCATGAAATAGAATGCACTAAAATACACACATCACTAGTCACACATTAAAAGCAGTTTTGTATTGATGAATGACTTGAACTGGAAGAGGTCGGTGCAGTCTTGAGTGTGTTTGGGGAGAGAGTTCCAGAGGGAGGGGGCAGCTATGGAGAAGGCTCTGTCACCCTAGGTCCGGTCCTGGGTCAGGACCTAGGTCCGGTCCTGGGTAGTGGAATCAGGAGGTTGGTCTCAGAGTAGCAGAGACTGCGCGAAGTACTGTGGGTAGAGCATGTCAGTGAGGTAGGAGAGGGTCTGGTCATGGAGGGCTTTATGAGTGAAGAGAAGGACTTTGAATTGGATGCATTATGGGACTGGGAGTCACTGGAGGTTCTGGAGGACAGGGGTGATGTGATCACCGGAGCGGTCATGGGTAAGCAGATGAGCAACAGAGTTCTGGATATATTGGGGTTTATTTAGGACTTTGGATGATATACCATAAAGAATGCTGTTACAGTAGCAAATTCTGGATGTGATGAAGGTGTGGATGAGAGTTTCGGCAGCAGAGGGGGAGAGTGATGGGGAGAGATGAGCTATGTTTTGTAAGTGGAAGAAAGCAAAAGGAAAATAACACAGAGGTTGCGGGTGTGTGGGGACGAATGCAGAGTGGAGTTATCAGTGGTGAGGCAGAAGTTGTGAATGGTTTTGGTGAGGGACTTGGGACCAATGATGATCATGTCAGATTTTTCACAGTTCAGTTGGAGAAAGTTGGCTTACATCCAGGATCTAATTTCATTGGGGTAGGTGGACAGAATGGAGTGATTTTCAGTGGTGATGGATTCAGCGTTGATGTAAAGCCGGATGTCATCGGCGTAGCAGTGGAATTTGAGAACATGGCTGCGAAATATGTTACCAAGGGGGAGCATGGCCCAGCATTGGCCCAAACCCTGCACCCTGGAACAAGTAAGTTGTGCCATGTCCGGTTGCCTGACTTGGCTGAGACTTGGCATGACTAGCGGCCCAGAATCAAGCTAATTAAACTGGTCCAATTCTGTCTGCCAGCATTGTGATCACTGGCCGTTATTAAATAATGACTTGGCCCAGCGTTGGCCCAAACTCGGCATGTTGTAAGAAATAATTTGGGCCATGACTGGTTGCCAACTCGTCTCAATTAGGTCTGCTGACACTGCCATCACTGGAACCAATATTAGGCGAGTACAGATGAATGTGAAAACAGCTTTCTCACCTAATTCTGCACAGTGAATCTCATACATCAAAGTGAAGTAACAAAAAAGTTTCATCATTTTAGTTCATATGATTACTTAAACTAGATGTTGAAGACTTAAAAATATGCCCCAGCAATGCCCAAGCATGAAAACTGTTACAGTTTAAGGGACAGATAAGATTATCAGTGTGTAGGCCCTATCAATAGGTGCGCCATCTGCACAGTCATTGCGACTGGTAATACCATACAGTAGCAACGACACACCCTGTCACGTGCTGAGATGCCATGACACCGTGGGTGAGTGCACTGTTTTATCATTAACAGAGAAAGACCACACTCTTTTGATCTTCTCTGTAGATTGAGAGTTGAGGAGCTAATAGTACCTGCTTTATTCTTAAACTCAACACTGTCCCAGTTACAATAATGTTTACCAAGTGGAGATTTACACATCCGGATATTAAAACAGGCTGCATCAAACATACTGTTTCCCCCACAAAGATTAGTTGTTACTTTGTATTTACAGTGAGTCCCTGCCAGATGTAACTGGCAAAGCTTACTGACAAAGTAACATAATGCTTATAGATAATCCTGTCAGAGTAAGGTCGTATGAAAAACACATCTGACCTGACACTCGATAAATTGTAGTTTACTAATGATGTATACTGAGAAGATCTTAATAATTATTAATAATAATTATTAATTATGTTAAATAATGTGACTTCATATACATTGAATCACCTCATGGGGCACCATTCCCAAAAAGGAAAAAAATGATAGCAAGTTAATGATATCAGTCTCGATCAATTATCAATTTGGAATTCTGATTAATAATCAAATTAATAATTATAACCAAAATTAATAGTAAAGCCTTAGGGATTTTGGAGTTCTTGACATAGCAGACAAGGCAGGTATGTGAAACAATGGGCTGTTTGACCTACAAAACAAAATGGCTGACAACAGAGAACTACAAGATGGCCATATCAAAGCTGGCTTCAGATCGGTGGAGGTCTGCCTGACGGTGTGGTCAGGAGGACAAAGACAAAGGAAAAGAAGCGTGAAGTTTGAGTTGCCTCATTGGGATTAGCTCTGTTGAAAGCCTATTTGTAAGTGAGTCTAGGTGAATACGATTTGTGTTGCAAAGGGTCTGGATTAGTGCAGAGGATGTCTGGTTGTATGCAAGACCCTGACCCTGTGAAAAGCATTGGCAAACTAACATCACTTAGCTTTGGCAAAGCCAACTAAACAATGACCTAACTGCAAACAATCACAACAATAACTCAATAAACAGCATTAAATCATAATTGGCAAAGTTAAACAGTCTTGCTTAGCTCGTTTAACTGTAATAATGCTATGCCCAGTTGTTGCTTTGTGGTGTGCTGCTAGCCAGCAGAGGAAGGTGCAGTCTTTTCTGTGTCCTTGTTCTGAAGGTGAAGATCCGAGGAAGCTGGTCACTTCGGGTCCTTGCAGAGTTAGATGTTGGGATGCTAACTCAACTTGGTTCTCCTTGTTGCTGGAAAGTTAATTGCAAACCTTATGTTTGGCACACTAACTTCTCTGGTCTCCAGGTTTTGCTCCTGTTGTGAGCATGCAGGTTGTGGTCCAGGAGAAAGAGAGCAAGATTCTGTTTGCCTCGTGACATCACAGAGTCACATGTCACTGTGAAAGTACTGTCCAATCAGGTTTGATAACTGTTCTCTCACTTAGGTGACAGAATGGGGGATCCTGTGGAGATAAGGGTCAAATAACTTTCCTTTGTTTGAAGAACAAAGAACATGAGGTCTTACTATTTCAGATGGCAAGACTCAAAGAGAAAGGTCTTCACATGTCCAGTTTAGATTTTAACAAATGACAAATCATCTGTGGTCCAGTGAATCCCAACATCAGTAATGTTTGAATAACATCAGCTAGAGTAGCATATCAAATACTTCCCACTGATGTTAAACTTGTGAAACATACATATTGCTCCATTTATGCACAATAAAACAAAGTAATACACTCAAAAAGAACCCTAAAACTGTAATTTTTGGAAGTACAGCTTGTATTACTACAGTGACTTCGAGTTTACTTAGCTTTTTGATTGGATGGATTAAACATTTCTTAATTACTAAATAAAACAATGAATTAATCATTCAGTCAATCAATTTCATTTGTCACATGTAACCCTACAGTTCCAGGGAAATGTAATCCCACCACTTCCTTTAATTTGTGCATTAAAGGGAGTTTAAATAGAAAAGGACAACCTGGTGTCTCTCCCAACACATCAAACACCTACATTTGTGCAGTGCCCCTTTACGTCAGACACACACCGAGGCACCTTTAGCATTGGTATGAGAAACACTGGGCTGCCTCATTTTTTGACACTTAGCTGAAGTATAAAGAGTGAGAAAGACTGCAAAGGTGGGTCCAAAGTAGCATGCTAACTGACACTAGAGGGATGCCTAGAGAGTCATAGTTTGACATGTAGGTCACTGCCCAAGTGTCGGTATTTGATGAGTTGGGAGTGTAAATGTGTTGCATAGGAATAATTAGTAATTAATTGTGGCCTGAGGGTAGAAGCACTTCTTCCCAACCTAAACATGCAGAAAAAAATTGTTATCTGGTTGGCTGAGATCCTTGTTAATGATTCTCCTTGCCTTATTCTTGCAGTGCCTGGTGTAAACATCCTTTTGGCAGTGTAGAGCAGAGGCTGTTGTACATTCATCTGAACTGACCACTCCTTGCAGGGTCTTGCGGTCCTGCTCGGTGCTGTCTTTGTCCCTGTCAGGACATTCTCAATAGCAGAGGTAGAAATTTCTCAGTAATTTAAGGGGATACCCTGAATTTCCTCAAGCATCGGAAAAAAGACTCGATGGTGCAACCTGGTTTAGTAAAACACTCATTTGAAATTAGCGGTATTGGAAGAATTTTGGTTTCATACATATGCAACAATGTAAAAATAAAAAGTTTTATATTTATAATCCTACCAGTAACATGTAGTTAAAGTGTCAAAAGTAAAATTACTCTCATATATTATTATATAGTAGTTGCAGCTATGTGGAGCTGGCTTTAACTGCTTTATATACAGTAGCCAGCAGTAGATATTTTAGTCTAGTGGTTCCCAATCTAGGGGTCGGGCTGCCTCCAAAGGGTCACATGAGAAATTTGAGGGGTCATGAGATGATTAATGGGAGTGAAAAGAAGAAAAAGACAAAGTTCTGCCACACAAACACATTTTTTGACACTTTTCTGACATTTGCTTTTTTGTGAAATATCCCTACTTTTATCTATTTGAGCATTGAACAGTTATTTAAATAAAACTATGTTCCAAGTTTCAGAGGTGGAACTGCTAACAACTTAGGGACATCTGAAGCAAGGGGCCCTGACTACACTGCTTTTTTGTGAGTGGTCACAAACTAAAGAGGTTGGGAACAATGGGTTTAATTTATAATGATACACTGTGTTATATAAAGTCATCATATGTTGTTTTATGTCAAATCTTAGTCTGCAAAGTAACTAGTAAATATATAAATGTAGTAAAGGCAAAAGCACAGTATTTCCTTCAGAAATGTAGTTGTAGTGGAGTTAAAGTATAAAGTTACATTAAATGTACATTAAAGTATATTTTGAGGTATTTTTTTTCTATTTCACTACATTTCAGCAGGAAGTACTGTGCTTGAAATACAATACTTGAGTAAATGTACATATTTACTTTGAGTGTCAGTTGACCATGTGGAAAGTGTCTCGTGGTTGTTCGTGCGCTTTAGCACACTTGTGCACCCTCCATATTGACATATTGATAATCCATCTCCTGTTGTTTGCACATGGTTTAGTGACATGTGACAGTATAGCGGTCAGCATAGCAGTTTTCCTGGACACTGGCTGTGTTTCCCCAGACCTCCTCCCTTTTATTATAATTGTTCATTCCTGACATGCTTTACTCAGAAAAATATTCAGATAACAGAGATAGAAGAGCAATAAATAGTCTCTTATCATACCCATTACACAGAGTCAGATAGAAGTTTTGCTAATGAGGGGACATTTAAAACAACAGGTGTAGTTGTTTTTGCCAGGTGAGCAGAAAAAAAAATTAATCTTTCAGTTAGGTAAAATCTTTTATTTTTAAATGTTCATAAAGGTATTATGGAGACACAATATACAATCCATTATTAAACATTGAGAGTTAAAAACATTTAGTAAGATGCACATCCATCAAATTTCAATCTCCATATTCCTTGAATACAATTATCCCTCTTAATTACAAAATAATTTTTACACCATAAAACGATGTGGTAAGGATCTCAATGTGTCTTTTATACACAGTTTTCTCTCTCTCCCTCTCTCTCTATATATATCTATATATATAAAAACAAAACAAAAAAAACAAAGAAAAAAAAACAATTACACCTGACAGAAATGTGGAAACATTATCAACATATCTGTTCATTATTTTCAAAGTCTGTGTCTGTCAAACCAAGCCTGCTCTCTGTCTAGAAGGTTTTCTGCAGATGTGTTTGTAAGTGCACAGAGGCCATGGCAACCTCAAGGGTTTTCACATTTTTACAACCTGGAGTAGCTTGCCTCTGTTCTTTTAATAACTGTTTATTATGAATGCAAGTTATTGACTTTATTCAATTTTAGAATACATACAAACAATTTGTATTTCATCATTTTAGTATTATCATTATAAGATAAAATCCAGTAACCAATTTGGATAATAATTATTTAATGCCATCTACGTGGCAGTTTCTTCAGCCTATTAGAGCAAAAGTTAGAAACTCAAATACTTTTTTTTTTTTTATTGTCCACAAATCCCATTAAAAGACCAAATATTACAATTAATTGAGCTAACAAGCACTGATGGTGGTGCCAAAGCCTGAATACATCTCCACATGGCATAGATCTCTGTGTCCAAGAAGACTAAAGGGCCGTTTTAAATGTAGTGCATTGTCTAAAGTGCATGGTGCAAGTGCATTTATGGTGTGTCCAACTCCAGATTTGCTAGTTAAGCAGTGCATAATCTGAACATATACTGAATGTTTTCTTCATTAATGATGTATTATTTCACCCACCTGTGCAATACATCTGTGTGTCTGTGTGTATGTAACAAGTGTACGTGCATTGTGAACCCGGTGAACCAGGTAGACACATCTTACTATCTGAATAATACGCCCTTTAAATAGCGGGAAAATACTGCACTATTGACTTTAGACCATGTATTTGTTGGTTAATGACTAATTACTTTGCTGCCTCATAATAGCAAGATGCCAACATTGCACCTGACCACACCTCATTTTAAGACCTACACACCCATGAGTGCACAGATGGTCACAAGTACATTTGCTTCTTACACAATGTGGGCGCTCACTGTAAAAATGACAGCTGCATTGGTCTGAAAGTAGCAGTGACAGTAGGGCTGTGCTATGTGTAAGATAGGGCTTTAGGAGTCTACAGTCAGCTTTGAAAGGCTAAATGCTAACATTAGCATGCTAACATGATGACATTAGCCCCTTATACACTGCCATTTTGGTGCCATTATTCCGCCTTGCCATATAAAAGGTACAGTTGCGGAATGGGGGAACAGAGTCGTCTCGCCTTGAAGCTGGTGGGGATGGGAAAGGATGAGTATAACATTTTGACAATGTTTTATGGGTGCCACCCAACCCTAAAAAAAAGCAGTTAGCAGTTAGCAGCTAATTCAAAGAATAAGACAAGCAACCAAAAATGTCCACAAATCGGGAAAACAATGAGGTCCCGAACTTCCCTCCCCTCCAAGCAGAGGATGAGATAAACTGAGAAATGGACTAATGCATTGTGGAATTTGTTGAAAATAAGAACAAACAAAAAAAAGAATATTGCCAGCCTTATCCTTTGAAGGCCACTTCAGTTTTTATCAGTTCTGTCTGGCTCTTGATTCGCTGAGAGTTAGAATTTCTTACATAGAATTTCCAGTCTTACACTGGAGGAATGACATAAATATTACTTGAATTTCAGAGTTTTGCCTAAATTGATTTGGTCCATAACCAATGCACTTCTTTGCATCATACACAAACAGTCACACAAATATATATGAAATCTCAAAGCCGGGTCATTTTCAGAATCTTTAGCTCTAAATTTATCTCATTCTCCATCTCCTTCTCTGCACTCATTGCAGGGTTATCGTACACTGCTGGGTGTGATTTCTTGTCATTGTTCACAGATTCTTTGTCTCTGTATTCTTGGTCATCAGCAGCAACCTGGCAGCATTTGCAGCAGCAACAGCATTTGGCGGTAATCACACCAACCACTTTGTCCCAGGGAGCCAGGGAATGGGCCCAGAGAGGGAGGAAGTCCCAGGATCTCAGTACTGCAGGCAGACACCCGGGTTTCCGTTTCTGCAACATGTTAATGACCATGATGGTGATCAACATGACCACCAGAGGTACTCCAACACCCACCAATACCTGCCAACCGGCCAGCGACAGGCTGAAGACAAAGAGCGGTAGAATGAAGAAGCAGCAGATGATGTAGACAGCAGCGAACCAGCGGTAGGAGGCCGTGATGTTGCCCAGGCTTTTAGCCAGCCGGATAGGGATGCGGGTGAAGGGGACTGGATACCACAGAATTATGCCAGAGATGTTGAACAGGAAGTGCACAAGGGCAATCTGCAAATAATGTGGACAGGCTTTATTGATATGCTTCAGTCATTATTGTTGATACTACATACATACTATTTTATTAAAAAAGTCACATAATAAGAAAATAATACAAACAAACTACATCCAAGTTGGCTGTAGACCTGTGTGCTGTGAGTTAGAATAACTGTTTCTCTCAATGGAGTCTGGTGGCTTTAAAGAGGGTAAAAGAACAGCTTTGGTTCTACATCAGAGCTATCTGACGGATACAAACTCATACTGATTTTTTTAGGTGGTCCTTTTTTTAGATGGTCAAAATAAATTTTGCTGTTGGCCCCATACATAGCCAAAAGACTCCTTTAACAAAAACAGTAATTTTACCTCCCAGAACACAAGGAGATGCTGGTCCATTGCTGTTAGTTAGTTATTGTGTGACTTTTGGAACTGAACTAACATGGTGTCCTTGGGCTGGGTGATGAAGCCATACTAATAACTATCTTGATATAATCTGCCCTGATAGAAATATAGTAAATCTTTTTTAAATCTTTGAAATAATAAAACCACAAATAGGGCTGTAGAAGGGGGCAGCAATGTACCTTAAATACCAGTTGCTACCTGCCATTAACCAATAGAGGCAGCAGAAGTAGCAGAGGAAAAAGAAGATGAGATCAGCCACCAAGGTGGTAGGGAAACATTATAACATTACAACATTAACACTACACTTTATTCATGTATGAAAATGATAACAGCTTAAATTCCCTTAAAAGTAAGTATGTTTAGAATGATATTTACAGAAATACAAAGTAGGAAAAAAAACAAGCTTACTCTACCTGATCATTCTCATATCCCTGATAACTCAAAATCAGTTAATATAAAACCTAATAAAACCGTGAATGTGGTTATTCTACATGTGTGCACTTTGTGTTGTTTGTGTGAATTACTGACCTGTAGAGCATTAGCCAGTGTGTCTCCAGGACTAGCCATAGCTGCCAGGATGGCTGTGGTGGTTGTGCCAATATTTGAACCCAGAGACAATGGGTATGCTCTTTCTATGCTGATGACACCAATACCTATCGAAAGAAATGGGACACAGATTAAGATACATATTTTAACACCCTCTCTTGGTCTACTATCACTACCATCACTTCCTATGTCTTTCCTGTTTTACCAGGAATTAGTCACATTTATCAGCTTTAAATCTTGCTCCCTGTGTGCTCCGTAGATCACCCTACTGCATTCAACCTATCTTTTACATTCTTTTACTGCTAAGATGTCACACAGACTAAACAACAAGATACAGAAACATTAATAAGGCACAATCATCAATTTATGGTAAGTTCAAGTACAAAACAGGGTACAGATTTTTAAAATGAAAAACACATAGAGATAAATGAATTGGATGGATGGATGGAAGGACGGATGAATGAATGACCTCACCAACAAGTGGAGTAATAGCAGAAGTGAAAACCGAACTGCTCTGCACAATGAAGGTCATGCCAGCTCCAACTAAAATAGCAATGTAACCTGTGACCCAGCCAAATGGAAATGGGAAATCTGCACACACACACACACACACACACAAACAGACACACGACATTCATGTATGACTAACCAAAGCAATCACATTCAATGCATTTTTATTTAAAAGAAACAGTGTGCAGTGCTGCTCACCAGTGTTAAGGATCCTCTTGATGACTGAAGCAACCTGTCCCTTCAGCATGGAGTTGAGCAGCTTGACTATCAGGATGAGGCAGGAGCAGAGCACCAGCAGAGACAGAGCCAACAGGATCAGACCCACAGCCAGGTCAGGCAGATTCACGTTCACAAAGAGATGCTTACCTGTGGACACACAGACAAAAACACACACGGAAGTTCTGAAATGAAAATGAAATGACTCTATAACAGACAATGATTTGTATCCTCTTCGTTTTAAAGCTGCAATAATGTTTTTTTCTGGTCACTAGGGGGCAAAAGAACTCCACAACAATCTGAAAAACATACATTCATATACTTTATCACTAATAAAGTAGTTATAGTTGATGTGTTGGTAGATGCTCAATATTTTTTGCTTGAAACAGCTGTCTGCTTCTCTTGTAAATGAACTCAATACATTGAATCTGCAATACACTGAAGCTGCATAGTTAAGATGCTTAGTTGATTAAATGCATAGATTACTGTTTTTGCATTGAAAAAATTCATTAATTCTGTGAAAACTGGTCTTACATTTCTTGACATTGTACGTTTTAGAAATGTTCTTCAGTGTGAAGGTGTAGTTGCCATCGACCCAGCAGAGAGACGGAGACGTACAGTTCTCTGGACCAGGCACTGTGACGTTCATTAAAGTCTAAAAAAAAAAAAAAAAAACAGTGGCAGTTTGACAAAGATTATAATCTTCCGGATATTTTTGGATATTTGGTTTGTGGCTGACATGTTTTGTTCTTACTGTGTTGGAGAAGGTTTGGCACCATATCTTGATGAGACTTTTGTTCCTGGCTTCTGGGTCTCCAGTGGCAATCCCACTAATAACAGACTGATCCAACTGAGTCGGAGAGAAAGAGAACAAATGTACAGAAATACAAAACCATGATGAAGATAATGATGCTGAATAATGGCATTTCATCTTTCCAATGCACTGGTGATTTCATTAAAGGGGACCTTTTATGCATTTCCTTATTATATATATATATATAGAGAGAGAGAGAGAGAGAGAGAGAGATACATATGTATATATAATTTTAGAGTGTCAATGCATCACAATTCATATGTACACCAAGCCAGTAATTTGCGTATAACCCACATAATTGGGAAGGCTGCGATCATGTGGCCAGTGCGTTGACGGGAATGTATAAAGAAGTAGTACATGTAAAGTAGCAGGTTGGGGTGGTGGATGACACCACTTTTCAGAACCATGTGAAACCAAGTGAACTTCATTTTAGGGTCTGTCATCACCATGTCTTTTTTCCTAAACCTACCCAAAGTAACTTTATGGAAAGTAACTTTACATTTTATTATTAACATCATTCATAGGACGCCCATACGTTTGATTTTATACAAACTAATGTATGAGGATATGTTGCATGTTCTTATTAAATGTGGCCAAAGTTTTAAAAATAGAAGTAAATTAAACATATGTAAAAGTAATTCCCAATGACTGACCAATCAGAACAGACTGGGCTTTTTCGGGATGGGGACTTAAAGAGACAGACACTAAAACAGAGTGTCTCAGAGGGTGAATACAGGTGTTCCAGCACAGAAAGTATGAAGGAATAAATTGCCTTTTGAACATTCAAGCATGTAAACATGTTCACAAACATGAACCCTAATAAATTACATAATAGGTCCCCTTTAAGATAAGTTTTAAGTTAGAAGAAGGTACTTTGGAGTTCAGTAGTGGCCCATATAGATAACCCCAACAACAGTGCAGTATCTGCTCTATCAATACGACTACTGTTACAGTATGTTCACCTTCTGTCTTGAGCTCAAGGGCAAACTAAAGAGGATGGCAATTATACAATCTGTTTACCACACAGTTACTGCTGCTAAAAGACACCATCTACCCAGAGGAGGTTATTTCATACACCTGCAGGGAGGAACTGATTGGTAATCAGTGGTGACAGGTTTATAGACTTAACCCTGAAGCTAAATGACTACTCGCAGACTACTAGCTGTGCTTTTGTACTGGCTGGACATTAGCTTTCATTCTGTCTTTGGTTCAGTACAAAGTTTTTTTTCTACCAGTGACAATACGATGGATTAAACACAGTGTTGCATAAAGCAGTTCTTTTTTTCTTTTTTCGGATTTTGTAGGCTGTTCTGATATTTTGCAAAAAACAAAAAAGTGATTTACAGTTTGCACTTTGCATCTTTGATCTGCTAGTGAAAGGTTAGAGATTTGATCCAGGCATTAGATGCACTGACTGCATTGCCAACTGAGGCTCCTTAAACAACATTACAGCTCATTGTAATTCACTCTGGATGGTATTGACCGCTGAATTTCAAAATTATAATGGTGTTGAGATAAAGTCTTTCAGATATTTGTAAAAAAAAACAATCATGTCTGATGATATTAAAGGTGCTCTGTGGAGTTTTTTTCATGTAAAACAAACAAAGGTTATGGTTAGATTGTGTGTCCTTAAGGTCTATTTTCTTCCTCATAAATTTGCAAAGCTAAGTTTTGAAATTTTTAAACCCAACGACAGTTGCAGTCCTGAAGGATACATTTTCTTCAGATTTGAACAATAAAGGTAGTTTGCACAGTTAACACCATCAGAAATGACGTAGTACCTCTATAATTGACTCAGTGAGGACATCAGTGATCACATTCAACAGGTCCGGGGCCTCTCCGCTCTCAATTTTGAAAGAGTCAATGATCAGCTTGGTGACCACGTACAAATAACCAGTGGCAACCTCCAGAGGCAGTAGCACCAGCACAGAGAGCCAGTTGAAGAAATCGTGCACTGTGGCCCCTGCAAACGCCCTGGGTACAGAGTGAGAGGCAGTAGATTAATGCAAAGTAATATGAGCTACATATTGTTGCTTTCCAGAAAAAAGTCATATTCAGCAAGCAGGTAAGCAAAACTATATGATAATGGTAAGGTGTCTCCAAATTTTGTGGTTTTGCAATTTTTCAGATCAAATTAAGGATCAGAAATGAAAGATTAAACATGACAAATCTGTATATTTTAGGGCAAGGATTTAATTATGTAGGTTAAATAATGACAGTCTAATGGATTGTAAATTTCATCTACTTCAAATAAAACCTTACAAAAGGCTTTTTTTCTTAGTTTTTGCCATTATGTATGTGCCATACTTTTTTTCAGACTGCGAATTATGTTTGATCTGTAAAATGCAAAACTTGCATGTGCTGTTCTGATGAATCTAGGACTTTGTCACCAGTGTACAAATTTTTAATTTTTTTTTTTTTTTTTTAAATTAAGAATTTCTGTGTCTATTTTTATAACAGGTCAGTGTGTTACAATAAAATAATTCATCAAGGTCATGCATCATGTTGCATGTGAGTGTAGGATTTGTCCTGATTATGTCTGCATATTCTTCTTGTTCACAGCAGAACACAGTGTTCATGAGAATTGCAAAGACAGGCAGTGAAAGGTAGCCATCCGTGACCTGAAAAATGATTACCTGCGAAAGGTGCTGCGGTCACCTGCCTGCGTCATGGCAACAAGTGTGTTGGTGACAGAGGTGCCGATGTTGGTGCCCATGATGATAGGAACAGCCAGCTGGACCGTAAGCACTGCCAAAACAACACAGGACCCCTTCATCATCAGTCCTCCTTCTCACCTCCAGCATCATCTTTCATACATACTGTATGTATTCTGCAAATGCATATTTGTGTTTGTGTAAAGTGTGGAGGCCTGTACTCACGTCCAGAGGAGACCATGCTGACTACTATGGAGGAGGAAGTGGACGAGCTCTGGACCAGCAGAGTAACCAGGACACCAATGACAAGTCCAGCCAGAGGGTTGGACAGAACTTTGTTGTCCTGGAAGATGTCACCTGCTGCTTTACCTAGACAGGATGAACATAGGAGCATATTTAAGAAATGAGTGCTGTGAAGAGTGATAGAATATAAATCCCAGTGTAATGCTGTGCTCTTGTGGCTAAGACAAAGACTTCCTCACAGAAGACAATATGACAAGTCACAGCAGAAAACATTAAGCAATTAATGTTATCAGAAACAAGTTGTCCTACTATGACAAGTCAAAATGTTCAGAAGTTACAAAGTTCATGGGTCATCATTACATTAAGTGTTACCTCCAACAAGCTGGAACGCTGAGCTGAGGATGTCCAGAGAGCAGATGAACATGTAGAGGAAACCCAGCAGCAGGACCAACTTCCCCACTGACACCAACACTCTCAACACCTTCCCCTTGGTATCCAGAGCTGGGACAAAGACAAAACGTGAATGGGATTAAACACAGAATAAAAAGAGAAAACACTTTTTATTTAGAGGTTTCTCCAACATTTCCTTTATGGGCCTTTTTTTCATGGCAGACATTCACATTTGTCATTAATATTAATATTAGTTAACAATGGCCCTGATCTATTTAATTGTGTCGGTAGGCCATTTGTTGAGCCAGCATGCAAAGCAATACAACCCTGAGACTGACAGCTAGATGGAGCGTAGCCCTTATAAATAATAGTAATCGCATCTGTGGTTTTCCTGCTATGACATGTTAACATATCAGCTGTGTAAAATACGTATTGCACAGCCCACAGAGCTGAGAGTCATAGAAAACAATCTGTGCCTGCAGTGTGTCAGCAGCTCAGCTGTCTGCATGGCTCCTGACTTTATCACATCCATTACTATTTATGACCTCTAGTCTTTCTAAATAATCTGAGCAATAATACTGATTGGATTTAATGAGGCAATTATGTCTTGGAGTTCAGCCAACAAGAGCACTTACAAGAAGTATTCACCGCAAGTTTTAATGTTTCATTGTTTAACAACATCGAATTAAAACTGATTATTTGTGGCTTTTTTTGACACTGATCAACAGAAAAAGTCACATTAAATCTACTTTGGTAAGATGTTGTTAGATGTTAAAAGACAAGCATGTCCTAAGGAGTGTGAATACCTTTTTATGGGCACTGAAAAAAGGAGTTCCTCCAGACATGTCGGGGGAGAACGGGGTTGATTGGAACACTTATATATCAACACCAAATTACCCTCCATTACTCACAGACTACTTAAACAGTAACAAAAATAATATGATCCTTGAACTGATACCAGTGTCTGCTAACATTCAAGTTTTAATTTTCCAAAAATTCCACTCTGGAACGGTTGGGACACCTTGTTCTAGGCTTAAAAAAAAAATAATAATAATAATAACAATTTAAAGTGAAAAAAAAAAATGCAGTCTAAATCTAAGCACCTTATATTGACAATATTACTTGTTCACACATTCTTATAAATAATAAACATTTGTAAAGTTATTATATGTTCAAGAATTACTGAGATATGAAAGGCTGTCTCCTGAGTCTTCATCTCAGTGGTACCTATCAGCTCAACGTGGTTGCCTTAGGCTAAATGTAGCCTGTAGATTTATGGAGACTATTGGGGTTGTTTCATTTAAATATAAATAAATACAACTTGAGAGTTTTAAAAAGTAAAATAGTTAAACTCTGCAAATTCAAAATATACTTATACATCTCAGCAGTCTAGATCTCAGCATGAACATGACTCAAATCATAGTAAACATGAGCTATAGGTTGAATTATTCAGTCAGGAAAAGCCTTTGTCTTGTTTTTATCTGTTTCATGTTGACTTGTACCATGGTAGGAACTATAAATGATACGGACCCAAATGCCCCCAGGAGAGCAAGCACACTTTGGACTCCTGTCCTAGCTACTTACAAAGATAGCTAACACTAGCAGCGACAGATAGGGCAGATAATCAGCTTTTCAACTATGTTTTTGTTTTTGTATGTAACAAAAAAATGTTAACAAAAGAGCCAAAAATGTACTTAAACTCTAGATTTCAGAGCTGTGAATAAAATGTGAGGAATAGCCTACTTAGAAAACCTTCACTTTGAAATTGAAAGTAAAGAGGGTGTGACTGAGTGTGAGTATGGTGAATGGCTTAGGCGTGGTTGCTTTCTAACTTGCTAAAAAGACATCGTCCCAACTGTCCCCACTCTCCCTGAATGTATTCATATTTGATGCACAGCTATGTACTGTTAAAAAAAACAGCTCCTCTGTGGTTATGTAACAATGTTATGTGGGACGCTTTATCACATCTACAGTAGGCTATATGTGATCCATCAGTAGGCATGTAAATGTATTACTTACTCACCATTCATATCTAATCTGGTCGCCCTTTAAAATGCAAGGATAAGACAACACTGTGGGCTTAATTGCTAATAATGTTACAGCTCCTTACCTGACCATGGGACCCCTGTGTCCTTCAGCTCTGGCAGATCCCATGGGTCTGTGTCCTCCTGCTCTTCCTCAATCAAAGCCACAGTGGAGTGTGCAGGGCTCGCTTTGACCTCTAACGCAAAAGAAAAAGCTATCATTTCCTTGTACAACTTTATAAATCAAATTATAAAACATGTACCTGTTATCTTAATTTGTGAATAGCCTTCTGTTACATATAAAAAATGAGACCTACCTTTGCCCTTATTCCCTTGTTTCTCATTGGGGTCTTTGTTGCAATTGTTTTGAGCAGCCATTGGCTGAAAGAAAGAAAAAAAAGCAAAAATTATGAGGATTTAAATCCAAAATGATGTATATCCATCATGGACAATGTTTGCTTCTTCAATTTTGTGTGTCACTATTTGAAGGTCACAGAGAATTGACAAAAAAAGAATGTTCCTAATTTGTGCCATTTGCTAAATATGTCCTCAAAAAGGCAAAGCCATCTACGCCATGGTTTACTTTTGTATTCTTTTAGATACTCAGTAGCTGTCTAAAACAAGATGATATGACTATTCAATTAAATGATTCATTTTCTTTGATATTTTTGTCTGATATGCAATGATGATTGCTGGGTCATATGTATGTCATTTTGTCCAATGTCAAGTCTCTATTTGTGTCAGTACATGCATGATAGCTCGCACCAGGGCCCATCATAATACTTCCTTGCGTCACTTTGAGAACAGTACCTAATTTAAGAATTCCCATGCGTTATTTCCAAGGCCAAGATAAGTTCAAACAATATTTGTGACCATGAGCTACTCTCTCTTAAAGACAGGGAAGTATGTCTCAAACTTGTGATGTCATAAGGTATAAAGTCTGGAGCTGCTCCATGGACAATGGACAGGAGACTGATTTTGTGGATCCACAGAATATTCGTTTTCTTTATGAGCTCTATTCTATTGTAGTGTTCTCACTTCTGAAACATAAAATGTACCGATAAAATCACAACGTTCCCCAGGGTGCTCTCACTGTCATGTAGAAACTCTTTCCCATTCATTGTCTGTGGAGCGGCTACAGACCTTACACCCTATGACAATTTTGAAAATGGGTGTAGTTTCCCTTTAATTCCTCATTGACTATCGGCCAAGTCTATCTAAGTAACAAATCACCATTACATTTTGACTGTCGGGGCATCAGGTTCAGAGAAATAACACATACAGACACACACACACACACACACACACACACACACACACTTTCCCTCACATGCCAGGGTATTGATCTTATCATCACATGGTCCAGCTGCAGTAAAATTCCATTCAGACAACAGTATGACACAAAGAGAAAGCTACCAACTAAATCAATATTAAAAAATGTGTTACACTTGGACTGAGATATGTTTAATCGGTTTGCTATTTGAATGTCTTCATTAACCAGTGATAAATTCTCTTACATATAAATGTATTCATATTGTATCATATTATTCTCTTTTATGTATGATTTACCAGTGTGTTTTTTAAATAATGGGTTATATTGACAATAGTATCATTGAATAATTTTTGATAAACATTAATTTCACATGTCATTGGTCAGTGTGTTCTGTTGTCATTCAATAAAACATTTTTATAGCAGTATTGATAAATTGTTTCTACTAGTCTGTCATTGGCATTAATCCTTTTTTAACTTAGAAGTATGACTTTGTACATCAACCCTTCTTACCAAACTAGTGGTAAAGTATGTTAACATCATAATGTATAAATCTCACCATTAAGGCATGTGGGCTTTTTATTTCATTTCTTATTTTATCATCATTCAAACTAAAAAACACAACATGATATTCCAAGATTTTTCAAGGTGACATCAGTAACAAAGCGTACAGATCAATAGAAGCCATGCTTGTCCTCACCTGTGGCAGGCGCAGCGAGTCCATGCTCCCTGTGTGTGTGCTGAGCTCACCTGAGCTTCAGGTTTAGAAGTGCTTTCTCCACGGGGGCGGGAGGGTCCGTGGAGGGCAGATGAGGTATGATGTGCAGCGTTCACATCACCGGGGACACTTTCGTGTCATAGATAAGCTGAACACACCTTTCAAACCTTGATTCGTCTTAACTGACGCTGCTGTAATCTCTGCAACTTGTGCAATCCACCTCACATGGTACCTGATAAGTCTTGAGTGGATGGTGACCACCTTCACCCGCACCTACACCTGCTGTTATCAACCTGTATGCTTCACCGAAATACCTTACTGGTTTTACGCCTAAGATTCATGTGAAGTTCTGTCTGTTTTGCAATTGTGTCCATCCATTTGAAGTAGAAAGTCTTGCAGAAGAATTCCTGTATCGCCTCAATTAAAGTACTCCACAGCCCTCAGAGTGATGATAGCTCCTGCTGGTGGACCCATGGGAGAGGAGTGGCAGAGAGAATGGCACCCCTGGCAAAGGTTTATCCCACTAACAGATAGACCACATGGGGGTGGGGGGGTTGCCGGATGTGCACTGTGTCCTACAGAGTTTGTGTATGTGGGGATGTTCTATTTTTGGCACACTGAGATTTTTTTGTCGCAATCTATTGATTCTCTTAATACAGCTCCCCATTGTTCAATACTCCAACATATCAATGAGGCTTATAAAACTATTGATGATGGCTGAGAGAACTTAGAGGAGACTAAGTCAGCTTAGGCCACACTGATGCATTGAATTTCCATGGAAGCTGTGAACTCACAATGTTAAGTGAGGGCATCCTCTTTTACAGCCTCTATCTCTTTTTCTCTCAGCCGTGCACACACTTACAGTCACCACTGCACGTTTACACCTGAATGCACACGACACGTACACTTAATGTATCCAGGGCATGTCCTAATGAAACACACTCATGCTTAATTTCAGTTGCCAGTTTGTTAGGTAACTCTAGCTCAAAACTAATGCAGTCTAACACAACAGACTTGTATTAAATCATGAATAGCTGGATTGATGATGTTAGACAGTGGCCTCCGGTAACTGATGAAGATATCTTAAATGAGTACTGATATTAATATAGAAATTAATCAATTGTTTGAGCGATAAGCAGGAAAGATTAGAGTAATAGGGAGATAATAGACTGTATCACTAAACACTGTGTAATATAACGTCAGCATACGTTACGTGTGCTGACGTTAGCTAGCAGCGTGACATTTAATCATTGTGGACAGGCTACGTGACCATCACATCATATTGAAGGCGATCAATATTGATCGCTTTCAATATGATGTGATGGTCGTCTAAAAGGCGGTGTAAAATTTGTCCGACCCATCCGGAGCTCAGGTAATTTTGACCCTCAATCAGAGACCTGTAATTGCCGTGTTTCTGGTCATCGGAGGCCAGGCGATCAATAAAATATTCTTGAATACCTAAAACAAAACACAAACACGTGTTGTTGTTGTTTTTAGTCACGTAGCCTGTCCATAATGATTCAATGTCACGCTGCTAGCTAACGTCAACACACGTAACGTATGCTGACGTTATATTACACAGTGTTTAATGATACAGTCTATTATCTCCCTATTACTCTAATCTTTCCTGCTTATCGCTCAAACAAATGATTAATTTCTATATTAATATCTGTACTTATTTAAGATACCTTCATCTGTTACCGGAGGCCACTGTCTAACATCATCAATCCAGCTATTCATGATGCTGTCACTGTAGAGAGTCAGTTCACAATGACAGCATAATGAATTAATGACTGACACATGTCACCGCCGCAAGATGGCGGCATACACAAATCTCTCGCCGAATTCGTCTATACAGAGAGGAACAGTAATGCAGCACAATTAAACGGCACCGCAAATGACAGAATCCATTGCACAGCATTGAAAACATTAATGTTAAATGTGCCAGTAGGTGCCAGTAGGTAATTTGCACCCACAGTGCACCCATGTCACACCAGAAACGTGCTTGAGCGGCCCAAGTTCCCATTTGGTTCGCTCAAGTGACCCCACAGTGACCCAGCTGACCCTCAGGTGCCCCTCTGCAGCCCAAATGAATTTAGGACTGGTGCTTCCTGTCATGTCATGTTGCCAGTAACTGAATGGATCATAACTGGGACAACAAAGGAAACAATACACCTCTATTTTTAGTTTTATCAATAAATGTTAGGCTATTGATTATGATCTAGTCACTCTTCTTCTCCCCTCTGTCTCTTCCTCTCTGGATCTGCTCTGGAAAGACAGATGTGCTCTACCTCTAGCTTTGAGTGCCAACATCAAAGATTTAATTTATTTTATTTCATGTCAGTGGTTTCCAACCTTTTTCTGTAAGGGACCCTTTTTTCTATCATTGACTAAACAGATGGCCCCTGACTAAGTGACATATTTTATAGATATTTTTTTTATTATATTTGATCCATAACAAGAGTACAGAGCAACTGATAAACTGTTCAATTAACCCAAATAGTGAATGCAAAGTGTGTAAAACAAGTGGGGCAGATTATAAACATTTCCTGTGAATTTCATCAGAGATGAGTTTTCCTGAAAAGTAACTTATAAATATTTTTTATATGATCATATAGGCTTCTTTTTTAAACAAATTCAGAGTATTCTTCCTCACACTTGGCTATTGTTTGAAAAGCTCTTTGGTTTTTAAGTGCACACAAGGCTGATTACCAGAGAGCAATGGCTCTATATAGGCCTATAGCTTCAGGGATCCACTGTGCCCTGTGTGTGTGTGTGTGTTTTAAAGTTTATATCTTTAACTATGTTTATATTGTAAACTATGTGTCAACTATAGTCATAGCAAATTAATTTAGTTTTCTTCATAGAAATGAATGAAATGCTGACATATTGGCCCATATATATAAACCAGTGCTTCATGCCACCACATACTGTACAAGAGGCAATCAGAGTCTTCTCTCAGACTGCACAAGTGCAACAGCATCACCTAGACACTGTACACTGCCATTACAACATTGTGCCATTCTTATTGGCATCTTCTTGACATTTCTCAAAAATAAAGAAAACTCAATTTACTGTATTTTTTCTTTTTTTTTTTTACATATAAAGAAACATGGGTTGTTGTTTTTTTAAAACGTATAATTTTTTTTCCTTTATCAAGTGATTGAGGTCCTGAATCACTTTTTCAAGAAATCCAACTTCAAGAGTGAACCCTGTTCAGGTGAGCTCCATATCTTGTCAAACTGTTTATGCAATATGAGCTTCTTATAAATTAAAGACAGAAAAATAATTTGCCATTCTGTTGAGTATCTTATTTTCCACATTTTAAAAGAGAAAAATTGCTGGTGAAAAAAACTAATTGCAAGTTCTTAAAATCCATCTGTCAATATTATCCCAAGTCTTTCTAGTTTACTGACAGTACCAAAAAGTGTTTATGAGGGGGTCACTCTGGGTATCACATTTTAAACAGTTATCTGAGATGGTAGTGTCAAATGTCTGAATTTTATCTCTATAGTGTACTCTTGTCATTAATTTCTACTTAATTAAATTTACATTTTCATTAATGGTAATTTTATGAGAGTTGTAAATGTTCCTGACACTTTTCTTTTGCTTCTATAACAAAATCCCCATTCCATTTGTTATGCTTGTTTTACAGTAGTTCTTCACTGTTCTCAGCTTTAGTAACAATATTGTATACAGCACAGATTAGTCTCTTTATTTTCCCCTTTCTTTAGAATTTCCCCTGTCTCAGTTGAGATTTTACTCCAAGATTTAAGTTTTCTGTGAAGTTTTTCAGTTGCAAGTACGTAAAAATTCCAAATCTTTTAGTTAATGTTTATTCTTTAGCTCCTGACATTAAAATACCGAATTACGGTAATTAATGCAGATAATTTCTGAATCCCACAGTTTATTCATATCTCCCAGAGTTTTAAAAAGTTATTGTTATACATGTTTGGGAATTTCTATTTCTATCTATTTCTAGCCTAATATTTTATTCATTTTTTCTCAAGCATTTAATATTCTATTTATGACAACATTTAATGTTTTCATTTTTTTTCTTGGAGAAAAGAGCTAGAAGTAAAGTGTGAAGTTGTAACTGATGGTTTTCAATATCAATCCACGGTTCATTATTTGTAATGTTGATGATATGGTTGATATAAAACATTTGAGCCACGTTGTGATAAAACTCAAAATTGGGAAGGTTTAGGTCTCCCTCTATATGAGGTAGTGCAGCAATTTTCTCTTAAACGTATGAGCTTTCTTAGACCAGATAAGGAAGAGAGAAGTTAGTTCATTTCTTAAAAAAAAAAAGAAAAGAAAAAAAGAAACATGGGTTATTGTAGTCAAAACTATGTGGACACAACCAATTAAAAACATGAATCACACATGTTACAGCAGTTTAATGAATTTGTTTACTTACTTATTTATTTAATCAAAGAAAGTAAGTGTAATGGTTTTAAAAAGCTATATGCAGTTTATGCATATACCATAGATTTTCATAAAATAAGTCATAATAAGTCAATTGTGTAACTCTAGCATCTATGATGTGTGTGTAGGCCTAATGGTATATAGGTCTAAGTATGAGCATTAAATACAATAAACACGATAATATATCAAAGTATATAATGTTACAGTTAACACTGCTTACAATAAAAAATGATATAGCCTATGTATAAAATAAAAGTGGGAAAGAGTACTACCATGATATACCGTATAATCAAATTTTAAAAGACAATAAAAAATGATATACCAGTAACACAATGTTAATACACAGTTATATAACTAATATAATGGTCAATTACAATATTATTATGCTATTATTTCGACAGCCACTAGATGACGTAGTCGATATTTTAATACCATTGTAATGACTCCTAATTTTCAAAATAAAAGCCCCAGTTTAAATCTCAATTGTGTGACTAATATAATGTTTTAGGATTGTGTGCGCTAATGAAACAGTAATGTGTCTTTATTATAAAACAATTTGCTCTTTGTATTGTTATCACAACAACATTTTTGTCGCTTGAGCCAACAACCCACTTTATTTCAACTTCCGGGTTATGTCAGGAGAAATGA